CACGAGCCAGCCTGCCCCAAAAATGCCAGGCTGGGGTTTCACACACCCTCCCAGCACCTCAGGAGCTGCTCCAGTCCTCCCAGTCTGCCACGGAAAGGGAGGAGCCCAGCACAGCCTGGTTCCCCTCCCCAGCCAGGTTTCTTCTCCCCACTCTTCCCCAAAAGATCCCCACCACGGGCAGGGCTCCCCAGCCTGGCAGCTGCCACCATCACCTCCTCCAAGTTACCCAAAATCCTCCAAGTTACCCAAAAAAAGCCCCTTCTGGCAGGAAAAAGCTCAGCCCCAGGGTGCTCCACGCCCAGCACCAGCTGCTGCCATGGGGCAGGAACCGTGTGGGTTCAGGGCAACCACCACGACCTCCTCACCCTGCCCTGCCAGCTTCCAGTGCACCCAAAGACCCAGATCTGTTTGTTATCTACAAGATTTAGTGTCTCAGGGTCCCACAGACACAAACAGCTCAGGAAAACAGGGGTGTTTTCTAGAAAACAGCCTGTCCCAAGGTACTGCCAGAGCTGGAGCTCCCAAGCACTGAATGGAGAACCCTCCAATGGGTGCCAGGCTCCCTCCACCCACAGCAACAGCACCTCTTGGGGTAAGGGAACCACCACAGAAGGCTCAGGATGAAGATAAAAGTTAAACTAGCCCCATCCTTCTCAAGAGCAGCAGCTACACTCACAAACCCAGGCCCAGCAACACCAGCCAGGTTCAGGGAGGCAGGATCAGAAGAGTTTTGGTTGGAAGAGACCTTTGAGATCAAGATCCAACAGTTAACCCAGCCCTGGCAAGAAGAAGGGAGGTAAGAGGGGAGGGCACCACACCCCCACACTCCTCCTCGTGTGCCACAGCACTGCCAAGAGCTGGCTGGGGACTGTCCCAGGCCATTTCCTGGGGCAAAGGGAGAAGAAGGCAAGCACCCAAGTGCTGCACAGGAAAAAAAAAAGACACTTTAACACAAGTAACACTTAAGTCAAAAGCTAATTTCCCATTAAACCAGCTTTCTAATGGAAAAATTATAACCAGCCTCAATTAGCATCTAATTAAGAGCCACAGCTACATCAC